AGGTATTATGTCCTCTTGCACTTGCAACAATGTGCTTTTGAAAAATTCCCATGCCTCTTCAACTGTTTTGCTATTTACCTCCATCCAGTTTACAGTTTCTAGTTTCAGTCTCATACCATTAAAGTTAGCCTTCCTAACATTGTATACTTCTAATTTCGACGATGTTGTTTGGACACTAAAATTAACCTAAAATTTAACCATGTTATGATCACTACCGTCCAATGGTTCTAAAACCTCAAATTTTCCAATCCTATCCTGGTTATTAGAGAAAACAAGATCAAGTAGGGCTTCTCCCCAGGTAGGGGTATTAACAAACTGAGTAAAAAACAATCCTGTACTCATTCCACCATCTCAAGTTCATTTACAGAAGAGCCAGAGTCTGTGTCCCACTGTATCCCAGGTAAATTAAAATCAACCATAACCACCACATCATTTTTATTACTCATAATCCTGATATCGTCATATAACATTCTGCTTTCCTCTACAGCTACATTAGGTGCTCTATAACAAACCCCGACAATTAGGCCATTTGAGTCTTAAGCATCAAGTTTTAAGAGATGGTTTTCCATTGTAAATTATATGAGCCGTACCCAATCCATGCTCACACTGACATGGCTCTGCTTACTAGCAGGGCCGAAATTGTGTCTAAACCGAGTTGGTTGCGTCACCACCATCTAACTGGTCAAAATGCATGGAGATACTGATGATTTGCATTGATTTGCATAAATTTGAAGAAAAAAGTGGATATTCTATATATTAATCATTATTAGTACTATCACACATCTCATGTCTGCGTTCTTCCCAGTTTATTCTGTGGTTTGCCAGGGGTGTGCTCCTGCTCCTAATCTGTTCAATGCTTGTATGGACTGGGTGTTGGGCAGGGTCATGGGGTCCAGCGGCTGTGGGACGTCCATTGATGAAGAAAGATTTACTGATCCTGACTTTGCCAAAGATGCCATGATCTTAGCGGAGTCAATGGAGGCTCTGATTGGGGCTCTCGAGAGACTGAGGGAGGAGTCTGAGTGTCTGGGATTGTGGGTGTCCTGGATAAAGACCAAGATCCAGCCATCAGTAATGTGTCTGTCTGCAGGGAGAATGTCAACCTTCTCGAGAGATTTACCTACCTCAACACGACATTCATGTCTCTGGTGATTCTTCCTATGAAGTCAACAGACAGATTGGAAGAGCATGGGGGGTCATGAGGTCACTGGAAAGGGATGTGTGATGCTCCCAATATCTTTGCTTGTCTTGCTGTATGGCTGTGAGACATGGATACTATCCAGTGAGCTGAGACAGAGACTGGACTCCTTCGGTACTGTGTCTCTTCGGGGAGAATCTTTGGATACCACTGGTTTGACTTTGAGTCGAATGAGTGGTTGCTAGAGGAGTCCTGAATGAGGTACATTACCTGCATTGTGAGGGAGCGTCAGTTATGGCACTACAGCCAGTACTCGAGTTGAGGGGGGATGAGGAGGGATGTCATCCCCCCCTGAAATAAAAACAGTCAAAATCATCCCCCTT